ACCAATAGTGCTCTGTCTTTGGGAGGAATTAGATGTCTTTCTTTGAGGATATGAAACAGGGTCAGTGGGTACATAAGCATCTCTTCTAACTCAGATCAGATACACTCTACACCCCAAGGATGAGCACAGGTTCTAGAGCACAGAAGGGAGACAGGGAGAGATGGCACGAGCGGTGCAGGTGAGCTCCTCGCAGGAGATGAACCCCAAGATAAGGGTCGTTATAAGAAGTGGATGAGGGGAGAAGTTTCAGGGACTTGGAGGACACAGGGTCATGGGAGCAGGACAGTTCCAAGGGTTGAAATATGGATAAGCATTCTGAGAAAAGCCACATTTATAGAACTTGTAGATGAGTGACCCATGGTTTGTGACATTGAAAAATGAGACAGTGCCTGCTTCATAGTCTAGGAAAACCCCAACACGACGGGGAGGAACAGCCATGGAAAGAGTCAAGACTTTGAGATCAGAGGTGGAAGAGTCCTCAAAGGCTTTGTACTTAAATTTATCCTTCAACCCTATAACCCAGTAGCCAAATTGAGGTCTGTATATGGAGTAAACATTTTGATGATCTGTGCCTCGTCCAGCAGCAAACTTTACACTATGGGAACGTGTTCTACAGTATACCCCCAGGATCCAGGCAGCCTTCTTGGATACATCTATCTCCCAGTAGTGTTTCCCTGAGGAGAAATACTGTGAGCCCAAGATACCACAATTGTAATACTTCACTGGCCATATAGGCATAGCTATCACTTGTCTCTGATCTTCTGAAAGGACAAGATTCAGATTTAAGTTGAATGGATTCAGTGTGATGTCCACTGCAGAGAAAAAAAAATATGAAAGCATGCCACAAATATACAGTAAATTTATCCAGTAACATTGTGAAAAGGGAACTTGGGAAGTGACTAGGCAGAACCTGTGTTGATAGATTGGGGAAAGGAGTTAAAACATTGGAGTGATGTACTGCACAAATATATCATCCGGAGAAGTGAGCACATGGGGCTATGATCATAAGATCTAATTGAAACCACAAACTTCTAAAAGGGAATCAGAATACAGTGATTTGAAGACCCAGTAAATCTTCTTACCCCAGTAGCACTGGACATGTGTTAGCTCTGAAATGATAAAAGATTCAATGATGTTATTTGACACAAGTGATTAAGCACTGATAACGGTTTCTTCTCTAGAGCAGGCACAGGGGAGGGGACTATTGTGAAACTAAGAACTGGTGAACGAGCGGATAAACCAAGTATCTAGCCATTCTTCCTCAGTTATAACCACATCTTCTTCAGCAAAATCCCTTCTCTGAACACCCTCCTTCTTTGTACTCACTTGGAAATATTTCAGGTCCCAAATTTAGTCCCTGGCACCACAAGAATCCCACATGCACACTCCTGCCCTGACTTCCTCACCTCTAAACACGTGAAGCATTTCGCTCAGATCTGGAGCACGGAATGTCCTCTTCAGTTTCTTGGAAACAGTTTTTGGCTTCTTCAGTGTCCAGATCTCACTCCTAGGGATGACAAAAATGTTGGCCTTACATCTCTTAACTTGCCTCCTTTCAAGACCACTGCCTTCCTCTCCTTCCATACCGCTGATGCACTTAAACCTCTTCCCTGAGAAGACTGAGGATGGGAGAAGTGAGGGCTCTGACACAAGACAGAAGAAATGTGCTCATGTCCACCTGCCCACTTAGGAGGATCTTCACCTCAAAGAAACAGTGTCTTCTTCTAGAAATGGAATAATTAACCCTTCCCTTGATACCTCATGGAAGTAGTATGAAATTCGATGAAATAATACACAGGAAATGACTTTGCAACCTCTACAAAAGGTATGTAATATGTGGAAAATCATCAGATCACAATGGGTCTCCCAGGAAGGGACCATAGATCTGGGTTCCCAGGGAGATCAGTAGGGAGTCTAGCCTATGAACCTGTGCCCTAGTGGAAAGCCTTAATTCCAGAGCTGTGGCCCAGAAACAACATTTAAGTTTTCAGGTGTTCTGGGAAAAAGTTAAAAACTTCTGGCAAAGGAGATGTTATCATTACCAAACTAAAATGGTTAGAACTTCATGTGTTTGTAAAGAATTTGGTGCTGCTAGGTGGACTGGCAAACTTTAGACACAAGGGTTACACTTTCCCAAATAAACTTCTAAAGTGTGAATAGGAAGAGATTAATTATTGGCATCAAGGTCAAAACCACTAACCCCAAGGCTCAGGTCTGCTTTTAGAACTCTAAAGAGAAACTTGTAGAATGACCTTGTCCTTCTCTATTCCCATTTATGCAAAATAAATATTTAAAAAGATGCTCCCATGACATAGCGTGATAAGACAAGTATCTGTGAAATACAGAAATCAGAGCAAGGACAGAGGGAGAATTGAATGAGTGAAGCCACAGGAGTCTGATAGTGAAATCCTTTATCCCCTAATCCTTACAGCCCTAAACCTGTAAATTCCAACCACCAGATTTACTAATACAGAATCTGGTCCACATTCTCACTAAAGAGTGAATACCTGAATCCTCGTCTATGACTAGCAATTTAACATAATACTACATCAAAACTTCCTTGTTTGCGGAGATCTTTCATTCTGATTGACCACCAGATAACTGTCATGGCTTCAAAACTTTCTTCATACCATAAAAGCGCCACTCACCACTTCTGGTCACCCATACGCACCATTTTATGATTCCACTCATGTCCTAGGAAGGAGAGAGAAAATCTGAGTCAAGGAGAATGAATAGTACAGAAGGATTAATGAAAGAAAGAATAGAGAAATATTAGAAAAAATCAGGGAATTCAAAAGTAAATTATTTAAAAATATCAACACAATTGGCAATCCTTTAGCTAGATATTCCAAGAAAAAAGAGGAGACAGATTACTAAAATAAGGAGTGAAAGAAGAGATATTACTACTGACTCAACAGAAATTAAAAGGTTATAAAAGCTATGAACGATTGTACACCAACAAATTAAATAACCTAGATTAAGTGGACAAATTCCCAGAAACACAGAAACCATGAATACTGATTCAAGAAGAAGAAATAGAAAAAATCTGAATAGATCTAAAACATGTAGAGTTTGGACTGGAAATCAAAAACTTCCTCCAAAGAAAAGTCCAGGCCAGGCCAAGATGGCTCCACAGGTGAATTCTGCTAAGAGTTTAAAGAAAAAATAACACAAATACTTCACAAATTCTTCCAGAAATTGAAAGAGGAGGAAACACTTCCCTACTCATTCCATGAGGCCAAAATTATTTTGATGTTAAAACCAGACAAAGATATCACAAGAAAAGTAAACTACAGGCCAATAATCCTTATGAATATAGACACAAACTTTTTCAACAAAACACTAGAAAATTTAATCCAGCAAAACATAAAAGATTATATACTATGGTCAAGTCAGATTTATCCCAGAAATGCCAGGTTGGTTTAATATGAGAAAAGCAATCAATTTAATGCATCATATTAATAAAACAAAAGACAAAAAGCGACATGATGATTTCAATAGACACAGAAAAAAGTATTTAACAAATACAGCACCCTAAACAAAACAAGAATAATAATAACAAACTAGGAATAGAAGGGAGCTTTCTTAGTCTAATAAAGGCATCTGTGAAAATCCCACAGTTAACATCATACTTAGTGGTAAAAAGCTGAGTGCATTTTCTCTAAGATCAGGAGCAAGACAAAAATGTCTGCTCTCACTACTTCTATTCAACATGGTGCTAGAGGTTCTAGTCAAAGGAATTAGGCAAAGAAAAAATAAAAACCATCTATACTGAAAAAGAAGAAGTTAAACTGGACAAATTTCCAACACTAGAGAAAAGATAATAGGGATCTAAAGAACATTACTGGCCACCATGACTCTTCTCTTTAAGGTCAAATGTATTCCCTTGCTTCATGAAAGAATAAGAATGAGACACTTCCCTGGAATGCTTACATTCAGTCATCCCATGACCTTGAGAATGGACGGCAAAGGAGGCTCTCTACAAGGCCAGAGAAATCTCTTAGTGTCAACAACAGGATTAGAGCCCAAGGACACAGAGGAGAAGGTAACTTACACTGCGTTTTAAGAATTTCAGGTCGGGTGACCCTCCTTACCTGCAGCAGCTCCACTGTTGACCATTCACTGCGACGCTCCAGATCTGAGATGAGCTCTTTCAGCAACTGGCTCTGCTGGACCAGCTCAGCCTCAGCCTCAGCCAAGTTATCCAGTGTCTTCTGTTCCTCTTCCTCCAGTTTTTGCAGTTCTCTCTGCTCCTCACCGTCCAGGATGCTTCTAAGTCGATTAAATTCTGTTCGTATCCTTTGTCTCTCAGTCTGTGTCTGATGCTGCAAAGTTGGACAAGACAGAGCAGTAATGAATCTGCCAGCCTGAGAGCCTACACTATGCAACAGAGTAGGAGCCAGAAAAATAAGTATTTCTTCAAAGACTTCTAACCAGGAGGGGAGTGAAAGCAGGTGCGCAATCTTTGGGAAAGCCGTTGTTGTTTTTTTGCTTGTTTGTTTTCCCTATATTTTTCCCTTTAGTACAAACCCAAAATCTCTTATCTAGGCCAACTCTGGGACAAAAATTGTAAAACCTGAGTGAGGTTTAGGTTGTAGACAGCTGTCCTGGACACTCATGCCTCCCTGTATTACCATATTCCCAAGGTTGAACCTTGAGAAGAATCTCGGTCCTTTGTTCATTGCCCTCTCCTGGAGGTGTCAGAGCCTCATTGGAAAAGAGGAATGGAAGACAGAACTGTCCAGATTTCTTCACCATAGAGTCTGTCTTTATGCTCAATTCCAAATATCTGTGTGTGTACTTGTAACATATCAGGTCTCCAGCCCCGACTCCCAACAGGGACGGGACAAAGGAGAGACCTAATAAAACGGCCTCTGGACTCATTCAATGCCAGGCAACAAGAGGAAGGGGCTTCCTCGTGATTCAGACAGAAGGTCATGTCAAGATTCCTATCTCAGAAATCCCTTAGAAAGAGTCTTTTCCCACCTTCCAGGAAGTTCTCTCTTTTCTGATGTCAGCTTCCAACTTCTCAGCTTCCTGCTGCTCCTTCCTCAGCCTCTTCAGAGCTGCCTGGAGCATCTCCTATGGGAGAGGAATCACACCAGCATCAAGCTATGGGCTTTCTCAGCAACTGGACAGAGAATAAACAGGAAAGAAACCACACTGATCTCAAGAGATCAGTTTACAGAAACTGACTCCAATCTGATGGTTAGAATCTATGACATGGGGAAAAATTTGAGCAGGTAAATGTATTCTTTATTGCTGAGTGCTGGAAGTCACTACCCCCTCACTAAGCGTATTATCATGAGTTGCTCTTTCCTTAGGGGAAGTATTGACTCTGCTGCAGCAAGGAAAGTCCTTTTCTTTTATTGACACTTTTCATGTCCAGTCCACAATGTTCAGCAGCATCCTTTCTGCTGGAAGGAGCAATTAGGGCCAACCTGGTGAAGGAATTTCCCATCCGTACAAGAAAAGGTGAAAAAGGGAAAGAAATCTCTCACTCTTAGCCAAGAATCTTGACTCTAGGCGTCTCTTTTATGGAACTGGAAGCTGAGCATAAGGTAAGAAATATGCAGAAGATTACAGGGCTCAGTACTATGGTGCCAAGGTGAGTAAATGGAAAGATGAGATTTTCCAACAAGTACTAGCTTCCATCTTGGGCCCTACCTGACATTCCTTGACTGCCTCCTTCGTGAAGAATATGTGGTGACCATGGTGCTTCTGAGACTGTTCACAAAGCCGACAAATGACCTTCTTATCCTCCTTACAGAAGAGCAGGAGTTCCTCCTCATGTTGCACACAGAGATCTTTCTTCTGCCCCTCCTTTGGGCTCAATTTGACCTCTCTGAGTCTCCCCACAATCTTGGCCACATGCTGATTAAGCCAGCGGTCTCCAGGGGAGAACCTGATGCCACACACAGGACAGCTGCTTTCCCCTCCAGGGCTGGTGTCTGCCTCCTTGCTGTCAGCGATGCAGGTTTGGCAGAAGGTGTGGCCACAGCCTAGACTTAGGGGTTCTGTAAAAAGCTCCAGGCAGATGGGACAGGTCACCTCCTCCTGTAAATTCACCAGCATTTTTAAAGCCATAGCAGCTGCTTTTTCTGGCTTCTTCCTGTCAGAATTCCTGAGATTCTTCTTGCTTAAAGATTCCTGGATGGATGGGCAGATTGAAAAGAGATGTCTAAGAATGGCACAGATAAAAAAAAAAGTTTTAACTGTGTAGACATTAAAGACTGGTTAAGACTGAAATATTGAAGAACAAAAAAAGAAGACAGAAAAAAAGCAGAAATGGAGGGAACGAACCCGCTTCAACACGCCCCTGATCACGCCCCCGAGTCGCCATTCAGTCCTGCGCTCCGGATTAGGACCTGGGGCTTTAACACATTTGGAAAACAGGGACTTCTTTCACCTGCTTTTCTTCTGAGGACGTGAGGTGGGAAGAAGAGAAGGAACGTTCTGTTCATCCCTTTGAGAGAGAGAAAGGAGAGAGAAAGAGAGGCGGAGGGCGGGTGGCACTGGTTCCAGTTTCTCTCAGCAACGTCGACAATCAAGGCCACAGAGCAGGGAGGAGATGGGGGCGGACTTGAGAGTCAGCCTGGAGGAATAAAGGCTTCTTCAGGAAGGAAACAAGGCCCTCTGCCTCTTCCACACTCCCTTCTTTCGGGAGTGAAAAACTCAGGGCGCCCTTACCCAAACTCGGGGCTGTCATCTGTCTGCACTCGGAGCCGGAAGTCTGCAAAGCTGGCTTGTCTGCCCTTCAGAGCAAGTCTGGGCCACAAAAGACACCCTCCTAACTCCACCTAGTCCTGTCGCTCCAGAGTGTCCCACCCTGTGCGCCCCCATGAGCCTCCTCACACACCTTCAGGCCACAGAGAAGTCTTGACTCCTGGTTCAAACGGTGAAGGAAGGCCAGTGGCCGGCAAGCTCAGAATGTACTCACCAAGCGGGGCTCAGTCTACATGAAGCAGTCCCTCCCCGGGGAGGAGCTGGATAAGAAGTGAAAGTAAAATTCTTGGGGCTGGCGGGAAGAGGAAAGGGGAAGGAGAACTGGGCCACACGGGCTGCAGTCCCTTCGGGCCACTGGAGAGAAGAAAGTAATTCTTTAACCCCGTGGTTCTCAAGGGCGGGGCGGGAGTGGGGAGGTGGGCTGAGAAAAATTTAGTTGCGGGGGATGCTACTGCCATCTAGTGGGCAGAGATCAGAGCTACTGCTAACGCTTCTACAAGGTGCAGGGCCGCTCCCACAACAAAGTAACCTGTCCAAGATGCCAGTAGTGCTGAGGCTGAGAGGCTCTGTTTTGACCCTCTCTGGTTCCCAGGCCAGCCAGGTAGGCATCGAGCATCTCCTACCACTTTCACGGTGGTGCACAGGCCCTCAGTCAGTCTACCAGCTGGAATCATCCCTTCCTGTCCAATGTCCCACTTGCCCCCACCAAACCCGGCGCCACCACCACCATGAGATGGGAGTTGAGTGGAGGAGGGATGGAGGGTACTGAGAAGAGCTGACTACAAAGGAGCTGGGGGACTTTTTGGAGTGTCGGAAGTTTTCTAAATCTTGATTATGGAGTGTAAAAGTTGGTCAAAACTCATCATACTTTACACTCTAAAAGGGTGCATGTTATTGCCTGTAACATGTACCTCAATAAAATTAATTATCAAAGAAAATTGGAGGTTTTCCAGATGATTCTTATGTGAAGCTGAGGTTGAGGACCACTGACTTTAAGGGGTGAATTGGACCCTTTGGGCCCTGGAGAGGAAGGGCTGCTTTGAAACTGGGGTAACCTTGAAACCACACCTGATGGGGAATAACCGTGAACCTGTCAGATGTCACCACCCTTTTTGGGCACAGGATCATTCCAGCACTGTGTGTCTCCATGGAGAGTATGCTCTGTTTTCATGAGGAAAATAAATTGATGGATTAATTTTCTGTGCTATATTCATCAGGGAAGTCCTGGTCTCCTATGCCCCTGTAGAACATGTTAGTTACATAAGAAAGGGTGCCACTTTTGGAAACCATTTTTCAAGGTTCAGTTATCCCATCTGCCCTCTTCCATCATCTGACCCATGCTTGGGGACCAAGGATAAGTCTCAAGCAGAAAAACAATTTTAAAAATGATTAAAGTTTTAACAGCTTTCTCATAAGAATATCTGTACCCATTATATTTGGACATTCCCTTTGGTCACTTCTAAGGAGTCAGTTGTCACTCTTCTATTTAGGTTTTTTCCTCTTTAGTTCAATATTGGTAATTTATGTCACTCAGATAGTAAACCATTAAAGGCATTGGTGGTTTAGTGGTGAGCATAGCTGCCTTCCAGATAGTAAACCATTAGACAGATTTGTTAATCATTACTTTGTGTGTGCATATTATCTTAGTCTTGTCTGTCAGTTCTGTATATGTGACATCCAATTTTTTTTATCACTAATTTTGTTTCCTTGTTTTTTTCCCCCTTCTATTTTCTTTTATCTCATTTCTTTATGGGGTTGCAACTCTGCTATGACTTTGCCACATTTCTGTAATTTTCTTAGCAACCATCTACTAACATATAAGATGTTAAAAGGAGAAAAAAATGCCACTTTTGGAAACTAATCTTCAGGTATCAGGATTTCTTCTGGTGCACCACTCTAAGCTGAGCTGTGCTTTGGGGAGACAGAAATGGCCTGGATGGAAGATTAAGTGAGTTTGGTGCATCCAGAAGCTGCATATAATTCCATGGTATTGTACTTGGAGCTCTAGGTAAACAGATGAGAGGTCACAAGAGGTGGGAAAATATCACGATGTCCAGACTCAGGCAGAGAGGAATTACTTGGAGGATGATGACAAACACCAGGAGACACCAGCGCAGGAGTTCAATGTCAGCTTTCCCAGATTCCTCTGGCTTAACTCCCGTCATTTCCTGACAGTGTCCACACTCCGAGAGCAGGGTCCAGCAAGGCTGTGTTGTCTATGAGCCTCTACTTCACAAATGATTCAGAAGCCTGGACCTCCACAAGTATCACCATGCATGAGGCGCTATGCACATGGAAGATAACTGTGTACATTTTTAAATGTTTATCTTATTAGGAAGCTCTCTGGTTGTTTTCTGAATGTTAGACTTTTTTATTTTTCACAGAATTACTTCACAGAGATTCTAAAACTTATTAGCATAGAACTAATGTATATTGTGTAATTTTATGTGTATAACTAATTATATAATGTGTAATATTTTTAAAAATATTTTAATTATCTTTAATGAACTACTTTTCCTTCACAGTTTCACTCGCTGTTTGTGCAACATTTGCCTTGTTTTTTGGTGTGTGTAAAATCATCACACCTTCTACTGGAATTTATTTTTATGTTTCTATATGCTATTGTATTCTTTCTAAGAGCCAATCCGCCCATAGGAGAGAGGACAGCAGTTTGGAGACAGTAAGAGGCTGGGATAGCTCCCCGAACTGAGATTGCTGCCCCAGCTTAATGGAGGACCACATGGGGCTGCAGTGGCCTCCACTTGTGACACCATGGAGTGGTACTTTGGGAGTGAATAACTCAGACGGGAAGGGGCCGGAGGATACTGTTGGTAGGGCCAACTGTTGCCAGAACTCGACGTCCTTAGCCCTCTTACTGAATTGAGATTCGAGGACAGAGTTTTGGATGAAGTAGAAAAGGCAGGCAAAGGAGGTCACAGTGAGCTAATGCCTCCAAGACTGTGAGCCTGCTGGGAAGATAAAGCAGGGGGTTTTATAGTAAAAGTTCAAGAGCTCAAGGGGCAGAGCTAGTTTCCATAAGGATTGTATACAGGGTAATAAATTGTTGCAAAGGTTGTTCTCATTTTTGTAGATGTAGTGGTCCCCTTCCCTCTGCTGGGTGTGAAGATCACCTCCAGGGACTCTCTTAATATTCTTGTACTTAGGGCAAAGGATACATAGGAAGAAGGTCTGTGGAAAAGTGCTCTAGAGAAAAACTTGTGCAGTTGAAAGTCAGGTTGATAAACACTTCCAGCATTTTAGGCCTGAGACTTCTTGCTGCAGGCTGGAACCTACACTTCCAGCAACAGAATACAGAGAAAGCACAAGGGGCTAAAAATAGCTGCAGACATGTTAGGGCAAGTTTATGAACAACAAGATGCACAAAACACCCACTTGCCTTTTCTGAGGTGTAGGGAGCAAAACACAGGCACTGCCCATGATCTCCACATACAACACCACCAGTGGGTTGGGCAGACCACCCAAGCCCTTCTCCTCTTCAGTCTAACCCTGGTCAGCAAGATCATGAGAAAAGCCATTCAAACTATTGTACAATTAAGCAGTTACAAATGCCATATGGTCACCAGTAGTAATAGGGTCCTGCTCGCTTATATAGCCAGCGCAGCACGGTGTAGACTTTCAGAACTCCAGCCCACCAGTCAGTGAAGGAGACCCTTTGAACACTTTGTACTCAGGAGGTCCAAATGGCACACTTACCTAAAGAGGAAAATCTGAGGTCTCCGAAATGAGTGAGGGCCACAGATGCCAACTGTATTTTTAGATTGTTTATAAAACATTCAACAGCAAAGATACAGTCATATCCCACAATAAATGTAAATATTCTAAACTTGTATGAGTTTGTTAAAGATTACTAAGTGGCATGAAAGAATATCTGGTAGAAAGATAATTAATGTTCATTAATGTACTATGAGGTGCCCCCCTCCCAATTTGAGGACAATATGAGCTCTGTTATTAAGTCTCCAATATTTTCAAGAGTAACAAATATTTAGGATATAGTATCTTACCTGTAGGATCTCAGTTGAAAAGCAATCCATTCAAGAAAAACTGTTCTCTTCTCACTTGAGGGAGAAAAGATGAGAATCACCTAAACTGGAAAGGTGCATAGCTTGGGAGAGGCACTGTGGAGGTGGGAGAGTAGGGGGTGCTGAAATGTGAAAAACAAACGAACAACGAAAACTGGATCTGGGATCGGAGTCAGGATCAAGTGACTGCCAAACATCGTCCTTAGGCCAAACAGATCACAAAAGTCTTTTACAAATGAGTGCAAATCCTCTGTCTATTTCAATGAAAGTCTCAGCTTCCCAGAGTTGAGAGACTTCTGAGCACCACAGGGTGCCTTGAGATTCCCCTGAGCCCACCCAAACTTTCCATTATGGATATCACATCCCTAATTATGACCCAGCACAGTCCTAAGCCCCCAGGAATACAAGATGGCATCCTTGTCTTTTAGAGATGATGGAAAAGAACCTTGCAATGAAATACTGTATAGACATGGTAATTGATTATACAAATTTATGTATATTGGAAACAAACAACATCAAGAATGTACGGTGAGGAAAAGTTAGTTACACGCCATATATGTAGTGTGATACATGTGGTATGGTTCATGCTTATATATGTATCATATGATAATAGTTTCCAGGCAGATACAGCAATACAGATGTAGGTGGACATAGATATGTAAGCACATAGATATAAATGTGCAGCTCTAGAAAATACATTTTTAATGATAAAACTGCTGAGGGCTGTACGTTTATGGGTTCATGAGTTCCATCTTATGTTGTCTTTTTTCTAATGTTTCCTCAAAGAAATACAGATTTTTAATCAAATAAGTATTAAAAAAGAAAGAGTCGTGGTTAGAGAAATTATCACAAAGGAGACGAGATGAGAATTGGTATGAAAAGGGAAATAAGAGTTTTCCACAAGCTGATGGAGGTTATCTCAAGACAGGGCAGAAGCGCATGCAGAGTATGGATGACACGGCCTGGGAGGTGAGCAGTATAGGGAAGGAGGAGTGGGAGGCACAAACTATCGGGTGTAAAATAGCCTCAAATATGTATGGTACAAATGGGGAATATAGCCAGTATTTTCCATAACTGTAAATGGAGTATAACCTTTAAAAATTACATAACATAAAAAAATCAAATAAAGAGAAAAAAGTTCGTGGTCTTAAAAAGAGCTTCTTGAGGCTAGAAATGGCGCCCTCTGCTGACAAGATTATGAAGCCTGTGAGTTGCTTCTAATTTTTTTCTGTTTTCAGGAAAAGACCAGGAAAGCAATCAGAATTCAAAATTAAAATTCCAGTGGGTACCGAGCTGGATTTTCACCACCAACGAATCAATTATAGGACTAAAACAAAATTCCAGGCCAGAGCACTGCT